CCCGGAAAACCTGCTCAAGACAAAGGAAGGGGAGAAAGTCAGGATGCTCAAAGAACAACAGAAACAAAAACAGAAATTCTGTTATGACAGAGGAATGCTGTACCTGGATTACACACTGGTGACCCAGTTAGGTTGAAAGACAAAACAGAGACATGGTCACAGAAAGGGACTGTTCTGTGTCAGATCCAACCAAGGTCATACACTGGTTCAGAAAGTGAATGGGCTGTTCTACGGAGAAATTGCCGAGATCTTCTCAAAGAACCAGTCATCGTAAGTCAAGGAACAGAGACTGTTGAAGGACCTCACACACATCTGAGAGTCCATCCACTGAGACACCTCAAATTCCAGGACAACCTACCCGAAAGTCCTCAAGATAAGTGAAATCATCTGAGAGACTGATTGAAAATATCCAATGTGTTGTTTTTTTCGATTGGGAAAAAAAAAAAGTGTGAAAAATGATGTGGCGAAAATTCTGAATGTATAGTTTATTGTTGGAAATTTGGGAGAGTTTATTCAATTTTTATTCTTATTTACAAAATATATGACTGTGACTCCACTCTGTACAGTAAACATTCTCTAGTACGGACTCATGTTTGCGCTGTCCAATCTGTCCTTATAACAGAATTTCCTTATTTGGGAAATGAGCATGGTACATGTGCTTTATGAACCTGCAAGTATGTTGAAAAAATGCACGTGTAACAACACAAGTAATAAAATGCAAAAATATACTGTCCAAAAACCGTTTATATAACAAAAACTGAAGTACAGTATATAGTACAAGTGTAGTGTCTCAAAAAAATCACAACACAGTACAGTACATACAGTATTTTAAATATTTTTTCCGTCTTGGGAAAAAAATAAGTATTTTGGGTTCGCTAGCTAAAAATGTGAAGAAAAAAAACACTTATTTGAATAATGAACGTGTTATATTGTTACTATAACCGTTTTTAGCATTGAAGAATGACATTATAACAGCTTGAATTGGAATCAAATGAACACAAAGAAAAAAATATTTTCTCATTTTTCATATTTATTGTTTCACCGTCATCCTCCATTTATGTGTCACAAATTCGCTTGGCTCTCGTCTAAACACAAGGCAATTGGCGAGCTGTTGCTGCTCCTTAGCGGTATGGGAGGGTACTACACGATTACTTTCTGGGCGATAGACTGCACAGGAAGACAAATTGGATATTTTCCCGCGGCATACCTAACAATGTCTTGCGGCACACTGGTGTGCCGCGGCACAGGGGTTGAAAAACACTGATCTATAGGACGTTAGTGAATAAAGTTAAAATCTTTGGCAATTACAGTAAAACGCACGCCAATAAAAAGTCACTTCCACGTCGTCGTTTTGGATCCGATGATAGAAAATCGCGAAACGAGCACATTTCTTCCGTCGTGACTCCCGTTGTGTCGAGTGCTTTTTTAAGCTAGTGCCGCGATCTACAGGACGTAAGCAAATAAAGTTAAAATTGTTCGCTATTACAGTAGAACGCACGCCAATAAAAAGTCACTTACACGGCGTCGTTTCAAATCCGATGATAGAAAACGGCGCAGTGAACATGTGTCTTCCGTCGTGTCTTCCGTTGCATCGGGTGGGCGCTGCGTGTATTTAAGCTCCCGCAGCCCTCCGTCTCCATCAGGGTTACGGAAAGTGGAACTTCCGCTTAAGTTCCGGTAAAATGTAATATCGTAGTCAAAATGTTAATGCATAGGTTTTTATTTCGGGTTAAGGAAATTCTTTTACATGGAATTCTGGAAATGGGAATATTTACTATATTTGCAAAGGCTGTGTACAGCAACTGTCTTGTCATGATCTCCTTCCTTAGAAAATCCAAGCTGTTCCCACAAAAGCAAATACACTGGTTCATCTTAAACATCTGCTTTTTTTTTTCAATGTCACAAAAATCCTGGCACTGACATAAGATGACATGAAATAAAAGTTCATAAATAAAAGCGCTGATTGGAAATGACATGCAATAAAAGTTTATAAACAAAGAATATTAGGAATACGAGCACAATATTATATTTTCAATTATAGCGATTTGATAAATATATAAATGATGTATGCTTATCATTGGGCCAGACACATCGATTAAATAGATTTATCGTTCAACTCATAATGTACACATGCATGTACAGTGAGACAGAGACCGGCATGGCACTCACTTCAATAGTTTGAAAAAACATTGATCCTAAAAGCAAATGGATTAGGACTTGTGTGAGTGGATGATGTGTTACAATATTTCTGTTCGCTACTTTTCTGTTCATGCAGGGGTGGGCAAACAACGGCCCGAGACCTGGATCCAGCCTGTTGGTCTTCTTAATCCGGCCCGCCGAAGGTTGGTACACAAGATTCAATGTGAATGACTGCCTTCATTTCATATAGACTTGTAATGACAGGCATTACAACGCCAGGTGGTGCATTGACTTGCCATTGCAGAGCACAGGAAGGCCGGGGAAGAGGAAGAGAGAAGAGGGAGTGAGAGAGGGAGAGATCTTATTTACCACCTACGGACTTCTGTCAAATGGAAATTCCGAAACCCGGTGAAAAAAAAAATATATGCATTCAACTTTCTACGACTATATTACATTAACGATCGATTTATAACAATGGAAGTTTCGGGTCCCGGAAGCCCGCAGCAGCGCCAAGTCAAGCAACTCCCCCTCGATACGAAGGAATAACAGTGTCTGCGCTGCTATTTTCTATCACTGATGCATCCGATTAAGCAAAGCGGGTTACAAAGTACGAAACAATCAGACGCTTGGAGTTGGAAAGACTCAAATTTACAAGACTTTGAAAAACAACGAAGCAATTCTTGCTCAGTCCGATTCTGGCCATTTCCCTGCTCAGAGTGAATTGCTTGCGGCTCGGCGGACATTCGAGTAAATTAACATTTCCTGGAATAGTTTGACTGTTATCGTGCAAAAAGTCTTCCGCAAACTGGAGAATAAGAGAGAAGGCGAGCTCCATTGCGCTAACTATGGCCATCGAGGACTTCGAAACGTTCCGTGGTTGGCTTCAAAAGTTCGTTGCATGACATCAGCTGAGCAACGCTGTCTTGGATGGTGAATGAGGGGTGATCAAGTTAGAAATAGTCAGTGAGTGGAAAGAAAAGCTACCAAGGTCTAATACTCATCTCATTTTGTCGCACATAGTCCTAATTTTTTAATAGTATATTTTGTTCATATACAGTGAAACTCCTCCACAACAAAATCATGTTTACAGCAAAAATTTTTCACAACAGGGGGTTTTTCACTTTAGGAAATTTGATCTCAGATGCAAGCGCACACACACCCACACACACAAACGTATGTGTACACGCACACACAAATGTATGTGTACTCTATTTTTATTCCAATAGTGCATAAGTGTGCACACTTATTTGACACTTCATATTGTCAGTGTAGAAAGAAAAAAAGGGAAAGAAATTGAGAAATTTACAATCAACATTCACTTTCACTTACATCATTTTCTTGGACAATGTCTTTTATTTTGCTTGCTCCGTCTTTCATTTTGATCACTTTTACCCTGTCTTCCAGCATCAGAGCTCTTCTTGTTTAGCTGCTTGACATCCAAAGGTCCATTTTGTAGCCATTTTAGCATTATAACGTCCACGCTCGCTAACAATAACAAATACTTCTGGACCCGGTGGCTTTTCTTTCCACCATCTCACTGTCTCTACCTCGACTTCCCCTCGATCGCCACCCAAGACAGCGTTGCTCAGCTGATGTCATGCAATGAACTTTTAAGCCAGCCACGGGACGCGTCGTCATCCTCGATGGCCATAGTTAGCTCTCGAAGGCTAAAAACCTTACGCTAACTGGAGTGCTAATGAGAGAGAAGCGCTCCAGTTAGCGTCAGGTTTTTAGCCTTCGAGAGCTAACTATGGCCATCGTGGCCTTCGAGAGCTAACTATAGCCATCGTGGCTGTTTTTAGCATGATAACAAGTAAAGCATTCGAAGAGACATTCATTTATTTGAATTTCCGTCGAGCCACGGGACGCTTTGTCGTCCTCGAGGGCCATAGTTAGCTCTCGAAGGCTAAAAACCTTACGCTAACTGGAGCGCTAATGAGAGTGAAGCGGCTGTTTTTAGCATGATAAGTAAAGCATTCGAGGAAACGTTTGTTTATTTGAATGTCCATCGAGCCATAAGCAATTTACTCTGAGCAGCTAATCGGATGCTACGGATCTAGCTTCAGTATGCACACACATACACAGTGAGGTCCCTCTGCCAATCGGAGGCCAGGATGATGCTCGGTAAGCCAATGGCAGAGCAGCTATGAGTATGTTGAGCCCAGGAAACTCGCAGCTGTGACCGAAATAAACATCGTTCACGATGTAAACCAGTGTGGTGGTGGCTGTTGCCGTTTCCGAACGAACCAGTCGAGGTCGCTGTTGGATAAGACTTCGTTGTAGTGAATGTCTTCGCGAGGCTGGAGCAGAGAAAAGGATTTTGTATAACGCAACAGGGGGGGGTTTCGTCGTATGGGGGGGGCAGGAGAATGGGAATTGTGTTAATGCATGAAGATTTTTTCACATAAGGGGATATTTTCGCCCATGTAGGTTTCGTTCTAGAGGAGTTTCACTGTACCTGTACTGTATACTGCAATTTTTTTGCGTTTTGGGGCAATATATTGTTGCACTTTGTTGCTTGTGTTGTCACACGTGTATGTTGTTAACACACTTGGACGTTCATACAGGACAGATATATAGTTGTTTCACTGTTCTCATAAAAAAAAAAAAAGTATGTTAATACTTTGATGATTTTGTTCTGTTGATGTTTGGTATGGACTGTCAACATATGCAGCTTTTTATATGTACCGTATCTTGTGCCGACCTGGCCCGCCTGTCAAATTTTCGAAAATCAATGTGGCCCCCGAGCCAAATAGTTTGCCCACCCCTGTGTTAATGGATGTCAAGACTTGTGAATTGTATTCTAGACATGAAAAAAAACACAAGGCGATGGCCAAATAATCACTGATGCGAAGACCCACCTGATCTATATCGGTTTTTAGGCAGAACCAAAGTGAAGAAGCCAACGATGATGAGTGGCCAGGAGAGCTCGAAACACAGTCCAATCTGCAAAGAAGAAGGACTGAATAGGTAATGGTGAAAGCTGAGTGACCTGCAGGAGGGTCCTCCCCCAAACCTAGTTTAATAGCACTACATCACAGGTGTCGAAGTCCGGTCCTCGAGGGCCGGTGTCCTGCATGTTTTCCATCCCTCCCTGCTGCAACACACCTGATCCAAATGAACAGCTCATCAGCAAGCTCTATCGGAGCCTGATAGTGATCCTGATCATTTGAATCAGGTGTGTTGCAGCAGGGAGGGATGGAAAACATGCAGGACACCGGCCCTCGAGGACCGGACTTCGACACCTGTGCACTACATAAATGTACAGCATCAGGCACGCGTAATCATACATTAGCGACACATCACTGCTACGGATTTCATTCACTATTTTTCTTACTCCTTCTTGAATTTCTTGGGTCGTGCCATGATGCTCTTGAGATTTTGTAGCCGACTTCACATTCTCTGTCAGATTCTAATTCAGTGATTTCTTGATTCAACGAGTTTGGTGGTAATCAGGTCTGGCTGATCTGGATGAATTGGTGGTAATCAGGCTTGTGAAATTGAACTCACCTTTGCCAAATTCTTGGTTAGTCACAGCGAATTTGTGATTGAACAAAAGGGCAATTTAATACGGGCTGGTGGAGGGGCAGCGGCAATTAATTTTTCACAAAGGGTCAGAAAGGTTGAGATTTTTTTGTGGCTTTATAAATTGAATTGCCACTTGTAAAATGCATTTTGTCCATCCATCTTGTACTGCTTATCCGGGGCCGGGTCGCGGGGGCAGCAGCTTTAGCAGGGAAGCAGAGATTTCCCTCTCCCGAGCCACTTCTTCCAGCTCTCCCCAGGGGATTCCGAGGCGTTCCCAGGCCAGGTGGGTGACATAGTCTCTCCAGCGTGTCCTGGGTCATCCTCGGGGTCTCCTCCCGGCGGGGCATGCCCGGAACACCTCACCAGGGAGGCGTTCAGGAGGCATCCGAATCAGATGCCCAAGCCACCTCATCTGGCTCCTCTCGATGTGGAGGAGAAGCGGCTCGACTCTGAGCCCCTCCTGGATGACCGAGCTTCTCACCTTATCTCTAAGGGAGAGCCCGGACACCCTGCGGAGAAAACTCATTTCGGCCGCTTGTATCCGGGATCTCGTTCTTTCGGTCACGACCCATAGCTCGTGACCATAGATGAGGGTTGAACGTAGATCGACCGGTAGGTCAGTTCAGCTCCTTCTTTACCACGACAGACCGATACAACGTCCACATCACAGAAGATGCTGCACCGATCCGCCTGCCGATCTCTCGCTCCCTTCTGCCCTCACTCGTGAACAAGACCCCAAGATACTTAAACTCCTCGACTTGGGGCAGGATCTCCTCCCCGCCCCCTCTGGGTCGGGGGCACTCCACCCTTTTCCGACTGAGGACCATTGTTTCAGATTTGGAGGTGCTGATTTTAATCCCAACCGCTTCACACTCAGCTACGAAACGCGCCAGTGAGAGTTGGAGAGCCCTGCTTGAAGGAGCCAACAGTACCACAACATTTGCAAAAAGCAGAGATGCAATACAGAGGCCACCAAAACGGGCCCCCTCAACACTTTGACTGCACCGAGAAATTCTGTCCATAAAGGTGATGAACCGAATCGGCGACAAAGGGCAGCCTTGGCGGAGTCCTACCCTCACTGGAAACGATTCCAACTTACTGCCGGCAATGCGAACCAAACTCTCACACCGGTGGTAGAGTGACCGAACAGCCTGTATCAGGGAGTTCGGTACCCCGTACCCACGAAGCAACCCCCACAGAACTCCCCGAGGGACACGGTCAAACGCCTTCTCCAAGTCCACAAAACACATGTAGACTGGTTGGGCGAATTCCTACATACCCTCGAGCACCCTGCTAAGGGTGTAGAGCTGGTCAACTGTTCCACGGCCGGGACGAAAACCACACTGCTCCTCCTCAATCTGAGGCTCGACTTCCCGACGGACCCTCCTCTCCAGCACCCCTGAATAGACCTTACCAGGGAGGCTGAGGAGTGTGAGCCCTCTGTAGTTGGAACACACCTTCCGGTCCCCCTTTTTAAAAAGAGGGACAACCACCCCGGTCTGCCAATCCAAAGGCACTCTCCCTGATGACCAGACAAAGCACGGCTCAAAAGACCCCTTATGAAGAATAAAACAAATGGACTTCAGTTTCCCTTGCCCGGACGCAGGTCACCGGGGCTTCCCTCTGGAGCCAGGCCTGAAAGTGGGGCTCGTTGGCAAGTGCCTGGTGGCCGGGCCCCATGCCCGAAGAGACAATGTAGGCCCCCCTTTTCATGGGCTCACCACTCATGGGAGGGGCCAAAGGAGTCGGGTGCAGTGTGAGCTGGGCGGCAGCCAAAGGCAAGGACCATGGCGGTCCGATCCTCGGCTTCAGAAGCTAGCTCTAGGGACATGGAATGTCACCTCTCTGGCAGGGAAGGAGCCCGAGCTGGTGTGCGAGGTAGAGAAGTTCCGACTGGATATTGTCGGACTTACCTCCACACACAGCCTGGGTTCTGGTACCAGTTCTCTCGAGAGGGGTTGGACTCTCTTCCACTCTGGAGTTGCCCACGGTGAGAGGCGCAGAGCCAGTGTGGGCATACTCATTGCCCCCCAGCTCAGTGCCTGTACATTGGGGTTCACACCGGTAGACGAGAGGGTTGCCTCCCTCCGTCTCCGGGTGGGGGGACGACTCCAGACTGTTGTTTGTGCGTATGCACCCAACAGCAGCTCAGCCTCCCCACCCTTTTTGGAGTGCTTGGAGGGTGTGCTGGAGAATACTCCTGCTGGGGACTCCCTTGTTCTGCTGGGGGACTTCAATGCTCACGTGGGCAACGATAGTGAGACCTGGAGGGGCGTGATTGGGAGGAACAGCTCCCCCCCCCCCCATGCGAATCCAACG